GCCCAGTGAGAGGCGGGGGCGGCCGCCGATGGGCTGACGGAACACGGGGAGTCCAAGGGTCTGTGAGAGTTTTGAAAGCTTAGCAAATATTGACTCAGTTTTATTTTCACGAAGACTACGAAGATGGAAAGAAACCAGCTGTTCCTACGAAGAAGGAGAGAACAGCAGAGTTTGAGGCAGGGAAAACACCTACATTTTGTGCAGTGACAGCTAAAAAGAGATAAGCAATTTTGGATGGAGCTAATAATTCTAGAGTCTGGATCTTTCCGAAGAAGATAAAAAAGCAGGCCTGTTCTTGGTGTTTTCTTCCTCCTCCTCCTCTTTTAATTCACAGTGTGCGCTGCACCCACCGCGGGGAAAGCCAGTGCGGAAGTGATGCCACGCAGGCCCACAGAGGAAACTGCCACATCCAAGATATCTTTGTCGCCATCCTCAAATCATCCATTCCTGTCGAACTCCTTCACTCCACATTGATTTCCAGGTTGCTTGCCAATTACAACTGGTCCCCACAACAAGGCACAGCCTGGTTTCCAGAGGAAACACCACCCACACCGCATTTCAAGGGCAGAGCCAATGGGCCATCTGGAGGCTGGCCTGGGAGCCTTAGAAAATGAAGACTTTTGTCCTGCGGCTTCCGTGCCCGTTACAGTGGCTCTCCGGGTCACTGTCTGCCTCCGTGCCCAGGTGCAGAGCAGATGGGAGGCCTTTCTGCATTATCTGATCATGGGCTATAATTACAGGCTCCATCCTTGTTAGCCACCACCCTCTGCCCTAATCGAGGCACTCTGACTCATGATCCATTAGTTACATCAAACCTGAAATCCCTGCCAGGATGACAGGCTACTATCCTGCAAGGTGTTGTATATTTTTAGGCAACCAAAGCAAGAGAAAAGCAAATGCCAAAATGGGAAAGGTGGGAACTAAAGTTTTCAGTCATCATCACCAAAATCCTCCACAATAAACAAACAACTTACAGTAGAAAATTCACTATAATATAGCACGTAACTTCTGATCCAAAGCCAGAGTTCTTTGGGGCTACAATGAAATTCTCTGCAACAAGAAATCACGGATGAATATCCACAGGTTCGCTGTAATGAGCTGCATCATCTCAGTAATCTTCCTACTTTAAACCATGTTCACTGCCACGTGAAACATGTGGTCCCCTGCTGAAATGGCTCAGACCATTGGTGGGAAAAAGTCTCCGCCACTCATCAGCAGCAGAGTCTCCATTTCTTCCCTTCAACCTCTCACCTGGCTAAGTGGGAACAAGCGTGAGGCATCTCACTGACCACATGGGAAGTCCTGCGTGTCCACTGCGCACAGAAGGCTAGAGCTGGTAAGCGTAGGGCACGGGGAATGTGGAACGACATTCAGAGCAGCCAATTTCCTTAGGAAAAGACAGCCCTTTTGTTAGATCTACTACATGAGCAAAAAAGAAAAGGAAGACTCTCATAAAATGTAATACCATGTTTTAAATCAGATTAGCATTTTCGAAAAGGTTATGGTCTCTTCTGCAGAAGAGAGTGCCATAAGAAAATACAATTATCTCTCCATGCAGATGTAGCGTCCAAGAAAAACGAAACACACTCGGAGTGGGCTGTTGACATGCCACCATCTTTCATGCCAAATCTGGGCAATCTTAGGCATTTCTTCTCATAAGAACGAGACCTGCCCTATTAATAACTGGATACCATTACCCCCCGCAAGTTAGAGTTCTACAAGTATAAATTAAATCATTCCTTTTATTTAATTCATCTTTTCAGCCCAATTGGATTAAAGACCAGTGACAGGCAGTGTTGAGGCCGCTAACACAGCACACCGCAGAGCACGTGACCTCCCAAGCCCAGATACTTTCTGCAGCCAAGTAATGACGTAGGGGTAAGTCTCAAAAAGCACGGCACACAATCAAAATCCTTTAGCATCCTGCACATGCACATGTCAGTTCAAAGCAGGTCTTGACAGGTTTTCTGAGCCTTCCTTTTTTTAAATATGGGCCCCTTAGAGTGAGCAGAGAAGTGCTTCCCAAACTTTAAATGTGCATACGAATCACCTGGGGACCTTACTGAAATGCAGATGCTGATTCAGGCAGTCTGCAGTGGGGCTTGGAGCATCTGAATTGTTATCAAGAGGTGATAAGGATGCTGCCCCTTGCTGTCTTTGAGAGGCAAAAATCTAGAGGACTAAGAGCCCCTCCCTGAGAGTACGCTGATATTCCTGGACTCCACTCATAATAATGGCCAGTGTTTACCAGGTAATTGGGCAATGTTCTAGGAACTTGATAAATATTAGCTCATTTAGTTCTAGTAACTCATTATCATCTTCCTCATTTTACCAACACAAGAAACTAAGTCTCAGAGCAATGAAGTGTCTTTTCAAGGTCACACAGCAGGTGAAGGGATGGGATCTGAACCCAGAGAGCCTCTCTCTAAAGCTTTACTAGTCGCCAAAGCTCATTCTGACTCCCATTAAGTAAAAGCAAGATATTTGGGGAAGCTGGACACTTAAAAAGGGGAGTGAGACTAGGAACGTGAATGCAGGTGGTATTAGAAGAATCGCAGATCGCACAGAAAAGCACATGTTCCCACATGGTCAGCACCAGAGGGGACGACTATTAGTTATAGTTATGTTACACAGCCAGGAGGAAAGAAGAGCAAGCACGGTGTATTTTAAATCTGCCAACCAGGCTCCTCTACACACCTTAGCAGGTGTTCTCTGCACACTGTTACAACTGCCTACACACTGTAGAACCACTGGAAACTGCCAGCTGTGGGGACAGAAGAGACCACTAGGGCGGGCTCACAGCCAGAGTTCTGAGCCTGATGCCGAAACCTACTCCCTGGCCTCTCTTTAGCTCTTCTTGACTCTTTGACCCATCTTGGCCAGTGACAAGGAAAGGGAGGAAGGAGTAAAACCCAGGGCTCAGACCTTGTGCTCTCAAGGCCTGCCAGGAAGGCGGTGCCTTTGCAGTGGAAGACAAAAGCGTGAAGAGCAGCCACCACGTGGTGTAGGAAACGAGCTGGAAATCCCAGCCCAGCGGGCCAAGCCGGAAGTGCCCCAGGTGCTGAACCCAGGTGGCTGCGGAGCCCAAGCCTCCAGGAGATTTCGTCAGCGCTGTCCAAGGTGCCACCAATGACTGCAGGCACACTTTGCCACCCGCAGGTTGGCTGGGTGGCTTTGTCTACCACAAGGAATTCGAGGATGCCTGTCTGAGTAAACACGCCCCTAAGAGAGAGGCACAGGGAGGCAGCACCTGGTGGGTGGGAAATTTTAGGGAATTATAGAAGGTGGGCGGGGGAGGGGGCCCCGCTGGGGAAATCGGAGACCCAACTGGAGGAGCATTTGCAGTGGCAGCACATAGCAGATCTGCCTGCTTTGTGCAGCGTGCCAGCAGGCGGGGCTGCAGAAACCGGACCCTTTCCCTCCCCGGTACCCCCACCCTACATACATTTAACTCAGGCACCGTATGGCCCCATCACTCCGCGTGGGTGGGAAGGAGAGGGGCGCGCCGGACAGAGAGAGGAAGCCCAGCCAGGGGTGGCTGTGGGAGGAAGCGTGCAGCATCAGGAATAATATCTGCTTAGAGATGCTCCTTCATTTCTAATGAGGGGTGCTGCCTGGAAGCACCACGCTCCAGCCAATCGCGGTGCTGCGGAGGCAGGGAAGTAGGGAGGAAGGAGGGGAAGACCACAGACTGGGGTGCGGGAAGCAGGGAGATGCCCGGCCTCGAGGGGAGCGAGCAGAGCAGCGTGCCTCGCTGACATTGGGGACCCAGCAGGGCTCCAGCTGTCTCCAAGCGGCACACCTGAAGGGCGGGGGTGGGGAGGAGGGAAGAAAGGGGAAAAGAGGCGGGGCCTCCTTTGCAGGTGCATCCTTCCCAAGAAATCTCTCTCCACAAGCATCAAAGTCCCGTGTCTCCAAGCTACCCCTGTATCTACCACCACTCCACTGACTTGCTTCCTACAAATCCCCCTCACCACCCCCACCAATGCCCAATTCCTAAAGATCTTGCCACACACCCAAATTCTCACTGAAGAACAAGGCAGTGACATGCCTAATCAGCAGCCTGCATTGGGTGCACTTGCTTAAGCCTGCAACGACGCCCCTCCTATGCCGGTTCACCCTGGCACGGCCCCCATCAGAGACGCCCCGCCGGCTCACTGTGGAGCTAAAGAGAGGCAGACTGCTTGCACACCTCCGGGCTCAGCTGATGCAGCCTTCAGCTGGTGAACCCAGGCCCAGCAGATCGGCCTGGGAGAGCACTCAGTGGGGTCAAGCACAGTATCAAGAGGATGAGGTACCCAACCCAGGTCTAAGGAAAGGAGGGGACCCAGTGAGCTGCTATTCCTTGGCTCAGAAGAGAACTCCGGCTGAGCTGCTTGGGCTGTATCGTTAGAGATTGCCTCCCCTCGTTCACTCTACTTTGAGTGGAACTTCAGCTCAGTCCCCAGAGTTATCTGGGTCCCCAAGCAAAAGCCTATTTTATTTTATCTACTTGTTTATAGGGTTTTGGCCCTGAACTCTTGAAGATTCTGAACTCAGGAATCCCCTCATGGAGACTGAACCTCCCCCAACCCCGGGGGCAGATGATGCAGGTGTCTCTCAGCTGGTGGCGATGGGGGCAACGTGTGGCTCTGAGGTCGGAGGAGGGGGTCTGGGTAGGAAAGAAAGCCCTGAAGTTAGGGGAGCCCACCCAATGCAAGGAACCAGTGGGCCTGGGAATCAGACAAAACCGCAACACCCCGCCACCCAGGGATGCTAGAGATGGCCACACAGGAAAAATCAAAAACCAAAAGTCTTACCTTGCAAACCACTAGAGCCCACACTGGTCTCTAGGGCACCAAGCTTGCCCCTCAGATGCACGGAAGTAAAGAGTGCACTTCAGCAAAGGGGCAAATTGGCACCAGGAAGGGAATGGGGGATAAATTCCATGCTACGTTTCCCACCTCACCAGAAGAAATGCAAAGGGGGAGAGGGGAGTTATGGTGGGCAAGAAAGGATATGGCCAATCGATGAGCTTCTTGGCGTATTTCCTGACAATGTTATCTTCTCCGAAGATGAATAGTGATCTGTTGACGGTGAAACAGTTCTGCCGGACGGGAATGGGGTTGTACAAAGCCATAGTCCGCGCCCTCTGCGCTTTCGACTGCTTGTAGGCGGCCGCCGGCCCCGAGGCCGGCACGGGGGTTCCTTGCCGGTTTCTGCTCTGGTCCGAGTCTCCATCGCCAGACCCCGGCCTGCCGACCACCGCCTCCCCGAAGCGAGCCATCCTGAAGTTTAAACAGACAGAAGACACACAAAGGTGATCACAGCCGAACACCTGCACACGGCAACAAGCAGAAAGACACACGGAGACTCAGAGCCGCATCCAGACGGGCGGGAGGGGGGACCACCCCCTCCGGGGAGCCTCGCGAGCTCTTTGGAGAGGCAGCAGCAGCGACCCTGCCACTCTGAACTGTTGAATCTAAATACAACCTCTGCAAAGCTCCATTCCTCAAGGAGTTAAAAAGGGGAGGAGAGGGCTGGGGGGTGCTCAGTTTCTGGAGGCAATTTTTTTTTTTTTTTTTTCAAAATGCCAGTGTGCGGTGGCGTTGAAGGGCTGGAGAGGAGAGGGGTGGAGTAGGCTGCTCCTCAAACATAGCTCCTCTTCTGGCAGGCGCACCACCTCGTTCTGGGCGAGGCAGGCACCGGCGCTAGGTAACAGTTTGGTGATTTATTGGTGGGGGGAAGAAAAAAATGAAAACAAAAGAACTTTAACACCAAGAGCAACAAAAAGACAAGGACGAGGCATGCTTTAGAACACCAGCCCCTGCAGGTCCATCCAAGAAATTCCACAGCCAAGACTTGGGTCTTTCAATCTGCCAGTACAGACGCATCCAAAGGTTGAGAGAGAGGGAGGGGGAAGAGCGGTATAGAGGTTCCTGCGTAAACCGCAACGCCCAGAATATCAAAATAAGAAGTCCATCCAACCGGAGAGAGACAAATGACTTCAAAGCTCCGGCGCCTGCGAGAGAAGTTGAGCAGCATCCAGAGAGCAGCGAAGCCCAAGTGCCAGCATCCGCCCGGAGCGCTGGCCGCGGCCGCCTCCCCGGATCAGCATGCAACAGCGATCCGCGGCTGCGCGGGGAGAGGGTGGGAGGCGGGCGAGCACTTGGGCGAGGGAGGAACAGGTTGCAGCTGAGCTCAGCCTTGGCCTGCCGCGGGAGCTGTCTGTCCAAGGACCAAACTTGCTCACTATGGGCTCGGTCTTCCTCTTCTACTCCAACAGCCAGCCGGGCTCCCGGCACCGCCACACAGGGGAGAAGGGGCAGGCGGGGAGGGGGGAGAGCGAGCAGAGCGCAGAGGTTCCGCCAGGCGTGCGCGGGGGCTTCACGGGAAGCGGGGGCGGGGCTGGCGCGGCCGGGAGGGGCGGGGACGGAGCCGGAAGGACCCTGGCCAACCGTCTGGAGGTTCGTAAGGATGCAGGGCTGGTTTGGCTGACTGACTGAGCCAGGGGGTATAAGATCACCACCTCTGCACAGGTCGGGGAAGAGTGGCCTTTCCCCAAGTATGGCCAAAAGGGAAGGGGCGGGAGCAGCGAGTAGCGTCTCCGCAGAAACCGAGGCCCGGTGGGGGCGCACGCACGTGCGCATGCCCTGGCGCCTCCTGTCCAGGGGCCAGGTCAATGCGGTGCCTGGCCTGCCGCCCCACGGGGAAGTCTACGCATTGGCGCCCTGCGCACAGTGCACCGGCCGAGTCGCCGTGCCTACGCACCTCCCAGGCTCCACAAATGCCTGCTGCCCAGGCATTTCCACAGAGAAGGCAGCACTCACTCCGGAACTCCCCACTTAGTAGTCCAGAGGCCCGATGAGGGACCCTAGGACTCCGGGGGGGCTGGTTCCATGCTCTGGTGCTGGTGCCAGCTCCCTGGGAGGGAGAGCGTCGACCCTCCCTCTCCAAACAGGGCCAACTGGGGTAGCCTCTTGGATTTGGCTCTAGCAGAGCCCTGCACATCCATTCCTGGAAGGGTCGCCCAGATGTTGGGGCCCTAGGTGGCATGTTCAGGGCTAAAACTTCCCTTCTCAAAATCTTAACAATGAGGAAGATCCTCACACTCCTCTCTTGTATCCCCAAGCCAGCTCCACTGACTTCCTCAAACCCACCACATTAATGAAGACAAAAAACAGCATGAGTTTCAGAAGTGGGTAAGGTGGACTCTAAACCCTAGAGAAAGAGTCCCTAGGGTTAGCCACCAAGCCCTTCCCCACAGTTGACTCAGTGGTTTGGATCAAGGACAGGTACCAACTGTCCCCTTCCATGTCCACACTAGCTAGAACACACCCTCCCCTTTCTCCTGCCTGGGCCTCGACTCCCCGTCCTATCTAAGTTCTCCCCACCGGAGCCGCAGAGGAGAAGGCGTTTTCTCCCTTTCCCTTCCCCTGGAAATCCTGGGTGAGTCTGGCTTCCTCTTATAAAAGGCAGTGTCTCTGTGTGAGAGATGACCTGGTGACCTGGTGACCTGGTGAGAGGGGGAGGCACACGTGTTTCTACATGTGTGTCTGTGCGTGGGCAAGGCCATGTGAGCACTGACAAGGGTCCACTGTGTGAGAGTATGTGTGTGTGTGTGAAGGGAAATTCTCTGGGTTCTGGAAAGTCAAAGGAATAGTCTCAACATGTCCACACCACCAGGCAATGCTGCTGTTGGGGGCAGCATGTTGACATTTCGATTCAGGGGAGCCCATTTCAGGACAGATTATGATAAAAGGTGAGTTGGCTCTCGCCACATGGCTGCCTTACTCCGTCCTCCCACCTACCTTCTTTGGAGGGTCCCTTGCTGTCTGAAGAGCTAGTAAGGAAGAAAAGGGAAGACGGCGCTATGAACCATGAAGTCCCATCATCCTGTTGATCATTGAGAACCAGTTGCAAGTGGCTTTCTCAGTGACCCTATAAACTCTATAGGATTCGAAAGGGCTTTCGGAAATGACCAAATCCATGCTTTCAGGCAGGACCATAATCCGTAATCTGCATCACGAAATGCATTCAAATCATGCATTTGACAAATATTTGTGAGCACCCGGCACTCTTTTAGTCACTGCAGACACAATAATGAACAAAAGAGATGACAAAAATAATGTATCCTCTCCTTGCATTAAACTAGAGTCTTTAACGTAACTGGCTAGAAAGGCTGATGGACCTCATTCTCACGACACAATTTCCCCCCTTTCCTTGGTGCCCTGGCGGTAGCAACGGGGGGAGTGGCAGGCCTGTTGGTTAATGCTCAGAGGGGGCAGGGCTCATTCCTCCCAGAAGAGGTCTATGGGCAGTCAGGAACCCTGGACTAGTGTCTTCAGTTGCCCACTCAGCAAAGATCCAGCCCTCGTTCCCCCTCCTCTCTTTACAATGTCCTGTATTCTCTGTGGCTGCTCTAATTCTTTAGAGGCCTTGAATCCCCAAGACAGAGGACCTGCCAGAGATGGGACCTGCCTTCCTGCCTTCTGAGGAGACAGGGATCACAAATGTATGGGCTGGGGAAAATGCTGATGACCCCTAGGAGTATTAAGCACCTCCGTGGGAGTTATAAATGGGAATCCTTGCAACCCAAGAGGGCAGGGGCGAACGTGATGGCATAGATGGCTTTGGGAATGAACTTGGCCTGAGGGAGGAAGGCACCCGCTCATGTTCTCCCAGCCTGGCTGTCACAGCTCTCGAAACCTTGGAGAGGCATGACCTGCTTCCGTGTTCTCCAGTGCCGCTGTTCTCCCAGCCCCCAGACGACTGCAATTTTAATCGCTGAGCAGAACCCTAGGTGTGTTTAATGGTGTTCCGTTTACATAAACCTCATTCTCAACCTCTGCAGTCAGCCTGGCAATGAAGGTTTTATGGCTCTGATTTGAGAGACAAATCAGCAGAGTTTCAGAAACGTTAAGGAGCTGATCCACATCTGGTGAGGGGCAGATTTTGGACTTTTAACAGATATTCTGACCTGCACCTTATGGCTTTTTTGCATACCCATGCTAATCTCTTCCGAGCAGTAATAGTATTAATTCCAAACTGTTCATCGTCCAGAGAAGAAACTAAATGATCATGCTAAGCCCAAGGGAATGCTGTGCTTACCATCCTCAAGTTATATCTGATTGGTGGCCAGATGCTCCTGGGACCGCATGGGGAAGGTGCTTAACTGGGAACATATCCACTGTCCTCAAAACCCAGGAGGATCCTTACAAAAACCTGGAATCAGGTCTTTGCCACGATGGTCTTCATAAGGGAACTTGGTGGCATTCTGCTTCCAGTGTCCCTAGCTGTACTGTCCACTTAAAACCCCACAAATGGAAGTGCAGAAAAGCAGCAACTGGTCATAACCATTTGGAAACTGGTTTCAAAAACCCCTTCTGAAAACCCGTTCCCAGCCCAAGAGAGGCAGAGCCATGGTTTCCTGTTATTAGAGCACCATCTACTGGTCACTTGTGAGCACATCACTGTGAGCTCAGGTACCACCCGCGCACCCGCACCTCAGAGGCCTAGGCATGCCTACAGAAGTGACCTCCTGTCACTGGCCCTCTACGCCCCTGTGAGACCGTTGAGGTCCAAGCCCCAAATTTCACTACAACGCAGCCAGCCCATCTCACAGTACTTAGAAAGTGCAGCCCCACACACTGGGTCAACACACACACACACACACAGCTGAGATGGTATAGCCAGTGCTCTACATGTTTTTTTGCAAGCAGTGCACTGCAAACTAGAACCCCAAAAGGATCTGAGAAAGCAAGTGAAAAACTTGCAAAGTGCAAGCAGGAGGGAAGGTGACAAGCGGGGCATCCCTCCAGTGCCAGTGAGAAGGAAGGAAACGAGGTGCCGCACTCCCCAGACCAGGCAGGCCACGGGAGTTTGTACTGAGCTGGACGGCCCTGAGTGGCAAGGCTGGAGAAGCATGCAGCCTACTCCCCCATCCATAAAGCTCTCCCCAGACCTGTCAGGCCCTGGGCCCCCTTCACATGAGATTTTTGTCTGTGACTCTAACCTCATCCAAAAGGCGTGTGCCCCTCCCACCAGCCCTGCCAGTTCCATTCACATGGCTCATGCTGAAGCTACCAGAGCCCCTTTTGTTCTATTTTTCCTCTGCTGAGCCTTTCCAAGAAATAGACTCTTATGCAAAACAGTGCCGAGGAACATAATGCAGAGAGGATTTGGGAGTGGGTTCTTAAGACAAGAGTTGGCAGGAGACCATGGCAGATTCAGAGCAGAGCACGGGAGCACGATGGCAGCGCGGACGTCCTGGGCATCTGTGGCTTCC